TTGCTCTGTCGTCCAGGCTGGAGTGTAGTGGCGTGATCTCGGCTCACTGCAAGCTCTGCCTCCTGGGTTCACACAATTCTCCTGCCTCAACCTCCTGAGTAGCTGGGACTACAGGGGCCTGCCACCACATCTGGCTAATTTTTTGTATTTTTTAGTAGAGACGGGGTTTCACCGTGTTAGCCAGGACGGTCTGGATCTTCTGACCTCGTGATCTGCCCGCCTTGGCTTCCCAAAGTGCTGGGATCACAGGCATGAGCCACGGTGATCGGCTCCAAAGTCGATAATCTTAATCAATACATTCAATCGTGTCCATCAGATGGGTGTGTATAGGGCAGGTCAGAAGACTCCAAAGTCTACCAGCTCTTTCCCCATGCCTTTCCCTGCTTGCAGTGGGGTAGCACCCTGCCACCTATGCCCTTAGGAAAGACCAGGCTCCTATTCTACAACAAGGATCTGCCCTGAAGGTCCCAGGCAAGAATCCTCTTCTTACCATGTAGATGGGGCTCCCCAAGTAGGCTCCCATGATCCCAGCCATGGCCCCAGCCGCTGCGCTGCGGGCAGGACTGTGGGTGCCTTCGGCTGTGTGCAGGTAGCCCCCAGCCTCAGCCAGTCCATAGGTGCCCAGTCGGATGCCATTCATCAGGAACTGGTATAAGAGGGCGGGGGCCAGGCCTTTCTGCAGGGCAGCCAGGCCATCCACCTTGCCGATGGTGATGAATGCATGGAAGACATTTCGGTAGTGCCGCTGGTATGTGCCAGGGGCCTGCAGTTCTCCCTGCAACTGCATCCTGGTCTTCACCACCTCCAGGGGATTGGTGAATACACAGGCCCCACAGGCTGCCAGGCCACTCATCAAGAAGTCCATGGTGGGTAACTGTAGCAGGGACTGGCCCAAGAGTAAGAAAGTAAAAATGGGTGTCAGAAAGCGGGGTTGGAAGACAGGGGAAGGCCTGTTTCAGCAGTACAGGCTGCAGAAGGTAAGAATTTAGGTTTGCAGTCAAGGGTGTCAGGGTCAAATGTCAAGTGGTCAAATGGAAGTAGTCAGCTGGAATTTGGGAGTCAGGAGCTGGCAAGCAGGGAAGAGACAGAAATCTAGGAGAAGCTTATGGCAGAACCCTCTGAGGTCAAGGAGGGGCAAAAGACAGAAGGTGACAGGTGGGATGGCTCAGGATGGCGGGCGACGGGGGCAGGGGAGTAGAGGAGGGAACCGCGGAGTTGGGAGATGGAAGCCAGGCAGGCAGGAAAAAGAAAGCCAGCAGGTTAGAGAAGAAAAGGATCCGGGAGAAAAGCCGGTGATTTCCTCGAGCCAGCAACGAGATCTGGATCCGAGAAAGAAGTCAGGACCCAGGCAGCCGCCGGAGCTCGCAGCAGCTTCAACCCCGGGTACCCTGCGGAGGCCGGGCCGCCACACTCCCGTCACTGGAGCGCTGGGTCAATGGGGAGCCTTCGAGAGCCGCCGAGGCCCTCAGCCAATCAGCGCCGAGCCGGCTCCGCGGCCAATGGGAGGAGCTCTCGGCGCTCCGGTCCCCGGAATCAGCCTGAGGCAGTTGGAATTAACTCTCCCGGCGCCACCAGCGCTTAGCCGCCGACTCCGGCTCCGGAAGGGAGGCCTGGGACGCGGAGGTTTTGTCATTGGCAGGAAAGAGACCTGGGTTCCCGATCGAACACAGAGGCCGAGCACAGCAGTTCCCTACTGGGGTGCTGGGACCGCCCCTTGGGTGGGCTGACGACTCCCTTCTTTAGCTTCCTACCCCTGTTGTGACCGGGTGGGGTCACCTAAGTTCAGGTTCACGCCATGCTTGGTGCCGGCGCCCGGAGAGCCCGGAAGCCGCGGACCGGCCTGAGCAAGGAGAGGGACACACCTGTGCTGCGGGGCCAGTCTCCCGAGGCTGCACCGGGTGGTGCAGCAGGTTCTAGCTCCCGGGCGGGGCTGGATGTGCCCGCGGCTGGCCGCGGACGCCGAGGGTGGGAGGCCTGAAGGATGGAGGAAGGAACTTGGTTAAATCCTTAGGCTTTTTCTTTTCTTTTCTTTTTCTTTGAAACGGAGTCAAGCTCTGTCGCCCAGGCTGGAGTTCAGTGGCGGGATCTCAGCTCGCTGCAAGCTCCGCCTCCCGGGTTCACGCCATTCTCCTGCCTCAGGCTCCCTAGTAGCTGGGACTACAGGCACCTGCCACCACGCCCGGCTAATTTTTTTGTATTTTTAGTAGAGACCACGTGTTAGACCAGGATGGTCTCGATCTCCTGACCTCATGATCCGCCCGCCTCGGCCTCCCAAAGCGTTGGGATTACAGGCGTGAGCCACCGCGCCCATCCGAGATTTCGTCATTGTTTTAAATCTTGAGTTCATGTTGGGTGCGGTGGTTCACCTGTAATTCCAGCACTTTGAGTGGCTGAGGCAGGAGGATTGCTTGAGCCCAGGAGTTCGCGACCCACTTGGGCAAAATGGTGAAATCCTGTTTCTAAAAAAGAAGATTAAAAAAAGAGATACAAGCTGGGCGCGGTGGCTCACGCATTGAATCTCAGCACTTTGGGAGGCCGAGGCGTGCGGATTATGAGGTCAAGAGATCAAGACTATCCTGGCCAACATGGTGAAACCCCATCTCTACGAAAAATACAAAAATTAGCTGGGCATGGTGGCTCATGCCTGTATTCCCAGCTACTCAGGAGGCTGAGACAGGAGAATCTCTTGAACCCAGGAGGCAGAGGTTGCAGTGAGCCGTGATCGTGCCACTGCACTCCAACCTGGTGACAGAGCGAGACTCTGTCTAAAAAAAAAAGAGAGAGAGAGAGAGACAGTGGATGCTTTATTCAGATTTCATTGGTTTTTGCTCAAAGTCCTTTTTCTGTTCCAGGATCCCATCCAGGATACCAAGTTACATTGAACTGTCATGTCTGTAGCTCCTGCTTTTTTTTTCAATCTTGTCCAGGCTGGAGTGCAATGGTTCGAACTCCGCTCACTGCAACCTCTGTCTCCTGGGTTCAAGCGATTCTCCAGCCTCAGCCTCCCAAGTAGCTAGGATTACAGGTGCCCGCCACCACACCCAGCTAATTTTTGTATTTTTAGTAGAGATGGGGTTTCACCACGTTGGCCAGGCTGATCTCAAACTCCTGACCTCAGGTGATCTGCCTGCCGCAGCCTCCCAAAGTGCTGGGATTACAGGCGTGAGCCACTGTGCCCAGCCCACTGGCTCCTCTTGGCTGTGACAGTTTCTCAGAATGTTCTTGTTTTTGATGACCTTAACAGTTTTGAGGAGTACTGTTGAGGTATTTAGTAGAATGTTCCTCTGCTGAGGGCTTTTCTTAGGATTGCACCAGGCTTTTGGCAGGAAGACCACTGAGGTAAACTGCTATTTTCATCACATCATATCAAGGGTGGTACTTGATACATACTATCAACATGACTCATCACTGTTGATATTGACCTTGATCACCCGGCTGAGGTGGCATTTGTCAGTTTTTCCCATTACAACAGTATTCTTTTTAAAAAAAAAATGGAGTTTCACTCTGTCACCCAGGCTGGAGTGCAGTGACGTGATCTCAGCTCACTGCAAACTCCACTGCCCAGGTTCAAGCAATTATCTGCCTCAGCCTCCCAATATAACATTTTTCTTTTTTTCCCCTTTCCATATTGTACATTTTGGAAGGAAGTCACTAAGCACAGTTCACATTAAAGAAGTAGGAAGTTATGCCTCTCCCTCCTTGAAAGGGGAGTATGTAAATACATTATTTGGAGGTTATTTTATTTTTGAGATGGAGTCTTACTCTGTCGCCCAGACTGGAGTGCAATGGCACGATCTTGGCTCACTGCAACGTCTGCCTCCCGTCTTGAACCTGGGAGGCAGAGGCTGCAGTGAGCTGAGATCGCGCCACTGCACTCCAGCCTGGGTGACAGAGGGAGACTCCATCTCATAAAGACAAACAAAAACAAACAAAGATGATGACATCTAGTGTAGTGTCATACATTTTGGCTAGTTTTTCCTGAATTTCTGTCTTAGATACTGTTGCCTTCCCAGGGTGAAGGACATCCATAACCATTTGTTCCTTCTGAAGTGTGTAGAAGTGATCAATGAACTTCCCAGTTCAGACAGTTACTAAGTCATTCAAGATGGCGGTCAATCGTCAGCCAGGGAGAAAAATAAGAGTCCCATCAGTGTTGTTGTTGTTGTTGTTGTTTTAATTAAAACCTTGTTTTTGTTTATTTAGTACCACCTTACTTTCTGGTACTATAAAATGCTCCAGGCTCATTTTGTATATTTCCTGCCACAGTTCTGCAATCAGCCATTTCTCCAAGGACCCCTATTTTCTTTTACTGGCAAATGGCTTTAGAATCCAAGGTCTGGGCACTAGGTGTGCTTGTTGCTTTTGAGGTGTCATTGCTTCTGGACCCTCACATCTGAGAAAGCAAGGAAATATATGTGTGTATAGTAACCCATGTATATACGCAAACATGTATTTCCATATATAACCATCCATATCTATATTAAGCTAAGCATGAATTCATACTGATGTCTCCAACTTTTTTTTTGTTTGTTTTTTATTTTGAGATGGATTTTTGCTTTTGTCGCCCAGGCTGAAGTGCAATGGCACGATCTCAGCTCACTGCAACCTCCACCTCCTGGGTTCAAGTGATTCTCCTGTCTCAGCCTCCCAAGTAGCTGGGATTACAGGCATGCACCACGACACCTGGTTAATTTTGTGTTTTTAGTAGAGACGGGGTTTCTCCATGTTGGTCAGGCTGGCTTTGAACTCCAGGTGATCCGCCCGCCTCGACTCCCAAAGTGCTGGGATTACAGGCGAGAGCTACCGCGCCTGGCGTGATGTCTTCAACTTTAATCCATTACCACATGGATCATTCTGGCTGCCTCCCGTGTTTATCTAAACTCCCACCTCAACTATGAGAAACCTGGCTTCCATAATTTGCCATCTATTTACTTAATTGTTTATTCCAGGACACTTGTATAGGAGTATCAGAATTGTTTTGTTTTTCTTTTTAAATTCTTTCTTTATTATTATTACTATTTGAGACGGAGTTTTGCTCTTGTTGCCCATGCTAGAGTGCAATGTTGTGATCTCAGCTCCCTGCAACCTCCGCTTCTCAGGTTCAAGCAATTCTCCTGCCTCAGCCTACTGAGTAGCTGGGATTACAGGCACGAGCCACCACACCTGGCTAATTTGTTTTTGTATTTTTAGTAGAAATGGGGTTTCACCATGTTAGCCAGGCTGGTCTTGAACTCCTGACCTCAGGTGATCCTCCTGCCTTGGCCTCCCAAAGTGCTGGGATTACAGGCATGAACCACCGCACCCAGCCTAAAATTTTTCTTCTTTCTTTTTCTTGTTTTTTGAGATAGAGTTTGGCTGTTGTTGCCCAGGCTGGAGTGCAAGGGCGTGATCTTGGCTTACTGTAACCTCTGCCTCCTGGGTTCAAGCGATTTTCCTGCCTCAGCCTCCCAAGTAGCTGAGATTACAGGCACCATACTTGGCTAATTTTGTATTTTTAGTAGAGACGGGGTTTCTCCATGTTAGTCAGGCTGGTTTGCGAACTCTCGACCTCAGGTGATCCACCTGCCTCAGCCTCCCAAAGTGCTAGGATTACAGGGGTGAGCCACTGCACTTGGCCTAAAATTTTTCTTTATTTGTGGCCAGGCACAGTAGCTCATGCCTGTAATCCCAGCACTTTGGGAGGCTGAGGCAGGTGGATCACCTGAGGTCAGGTGATCAAGACCATCCTGGCCAGCATGGCAAAACTGCATCTCTACTAAAAATACAGAAATTAGCTGGGCATGGTGGTGCACACCTGTAGTCCCAGCTACTTGGGAGGCTGAGGTATGCTAATTACTTGAACCTGGGAGGCGGAGGTTGCGGTGAGTCAAGATTGCATCAGTGCACTTCAGCCTGGGTTACAGAGTAGGATTCCGTTTCAATAAAATAAAATATAAATTTTCTTTATTTGTAATCATAATGTCTCAAAAGAGAATTGTTAACACATACCCCTGTGGGAAACAATCTTATAAACTAGGGTACAGTGCTTATGTGT